TCGGGTGAAAACGTGCTGAGCTTTCGTCCATCATATGATGGACATCATCAGAGCTGGGTTCCATTCTTGTCAGTGCAATGCACACTCCCATCACCCCAAGTCACATAAAGTGGTAAAGGAGTGATAGCTGAATTTTTACGCACTCATATGTAGGCCTCATGTTTCCAGTGAATTGCACAATGCCCCGATTTCTTTAAGGTAATCCAATCCTAGATTTGGTTGGGGGCATAATTTTGACATTTTATCACTACGCCCCACTACCAAGAGTGCCCCTGAGTCACCGGGCAGAAGAAAGATCAGACCCTTTTGCATATCACATTTTTCTATTGGGATTTTCGATTGGGTGAACTTGTGCTTTTGCGTTACAATCGACTATGTTACTTAAATTCGTATTGAGTAGGTCGAAAGTGCCGTCCACTCTGAACGAGATCACCTTTTGGGAAGTGAGACTAAGTGAAATTCAACGTTGATCATCCGGCTTCTGCAGGTTCCGGAGCTCTATAAAAGACCCTGAATTGGCTGGACTAGGGCGGCGAATTGGGCTGCAGCCGAATCCATGGCGGCTACCAGATCCGGGGTTCGGAGGCAGGATAGAGCGTCACTTCGGTGTGATTTCGGCCTTCGTGCCCAGCCGTGAACCAACCAGCTGGCACCGGTGTCAGGGCGTCGCGAAGGGTGACCATTTGTGGCACGTATGCAGGCCGCAACTCCTCAAATCACCGCTACTTGTGACGCAGGCCCGAGTGGATAGGAGGTGTGCCATCTTCTGGACCCTCTCCGCGGCCGGGGGCGACTGGAGCGTGAAGCCTACTTTGCGAGAGTATGCTGTTGCCCGTGTGACCATGTGACAGCATTCATACATACATGTGTTTTATGCGTTCTGCCGGGGGTGGCGAGCGCCCGCACGGGTGTACGAGATAAGCGAAACTAGATTGAAGAGCTACATTAGACCGGCATCTGGTATGACGCACTCGGTAGAACTGGGGCTGAAGAGACAGCCCACATCCTCCTGTCCCGGGGCACGTACTCAGGACACCAAGTGTTGGTGGGTAAAGGGCAAGTTTGCTCATCCCTTCATACTGCCAGGATTACATGTATGCATCCGTATTCCCACGAGGTATGTGTTTCTGTGTGCTTGTGTGTGCATGCCTCGTGTGTTACCGTTACGCTGAGGATGTAGTGTCCATGTCACGTTCGGGTGAATTGTGAAATAAATCTGAAGCACATCGAGAGAGTGAAAGATGTCATTAGGCAGCATACATCCAACAATACGCTATAGCCCAACTATCCACCTTCATTCGTGAATATATTTTTATAATCTGTTTTATATGCCCATTAAGCTATGCAGGGATGTACCTGCCTAGCCCACCTCTTCGTCATTATATTCACATGTGGGGTCTTATGCACACGCGTATG